GTCTATCTGAGTGCCCTGACAGCCTGCAAACCACAGGAACTCTCAAGAAGATCTCTACTATATTTGAAACTACGAAACGTTTTAAACATGATTTAAGGGATCCTTAATGATCCATAATGACTGCTACGCTAGAGACAGGCTACTGCAGTTCTCCACAGGAATGGAGTCTTTCTCTTCTTAACTAGGCAAAACTGATCTGAGCACAACTACATAAGCATTCTCAGTTTACCGTTTTAGAGGCACAAATCCAATCTAGACTCTTTTTTTCCCCACTGGGTGTCACTTCACTGGAAGCAGGGCAGGAGCCTCCACTGAGTTTCTCAATGTTGGCTGCTATTAAAGTTTTCAACCCTAACCTATATCAGCATCTCTAAGCACTTGCCTTCTCTTCCCTGGAAGAGGAAGCTACATGTAAATACGAAGCTCATGCTCCTGTTCCTATCACTGACTAGGCCAGTCAAGTATTTCAAACCAATTCTGCAAGTGTATGGGCTTAATACATCCTTGTCACTTACTAGGAACATAAATCTTCGGACTTTATTTTAATGCCTGCCCTTTACTGCTCTCCATGCAGGAAAGCGGAGGGCGTGCAACCAGTTTCTGCAGTTCAGACTGCTCCCATCACTGCATTTGGTACAAAACCAACAAAGTATAAATAAGCATGAATCCACCATGTTCATCCAGCAAAACAGCCAGCACTGGAAGAAGCCAATAGCTGAGCTGCTGCCTCCAGAAAGGAGAACATGCCCTTAGGGAAAATAGTTATGGCCATGCAGCTTGAGAGAAGCCATGGATGACCCTGCCCCTTACAGTTACTGCTGAACATGGGTCATAATCAGCTTGAGACATCTTAGTCTCAGGTCAATTATTAATATTTTAGACATAAAAGTGCACTGAGCCATTGAGAAGCAGAGCTTTTCCTACGTGTTTTATGTTTAGAGATTAGAAAGGAGGAAAGACCAACTTCTAGCTTGACCTACAGAGAGCACAGACCAGTGCAGCTCATTTGGTTAAGTGTGGATGCATCCCAAGATACACAATGCATACATGCAAAGGTGTCTATGTACATACAAATGCTAGCACAATGTAATTGACACTTTTTTCAAAAATTACTAGGTTTGCCCCATGTGGGTCCAACAAACATTTTGAAATGTGTTACATGTGAGCAAAAACACAGGATGCTGCAAACAGAGCTTCCTTCCCTCCTTTGCTGGTAATGGACAGAGATTAAACACTACTGCACTTGGAGGAGAAACTTTCCAGAAAAGCAAGGGATTCAGTGAGATGTACCTGTTTACTTATTCAAGTAATTGAATAACTCCCCCTCCCCATCTCTTATGAACGTTTTTCTTTTTTTTCCATCCTCTATATTGAAGAAAGGCTACCTTTAACAGATGCTTTGACCAAATATTGATTCCAAAAGTCAAATTGGTAGCTTTAAAAACACTGTTCAAATAATTAAATATATTATAATGAAATAAGCTACTGGTGATTTTTATGTTACATACAATAGCAATAAAAGGAAACTCTAGCCCTAACTTACTCGCATGAGATTAAAATTAACAAATGAAATTTGGGTGCACACACCTAACATTTTTCCACTTTCATCTTCACATTCCCAAAATTTCCAGGCATGCATGATTTTTTCCTTTACTGTATAAGAGAGCCCACAGTACAGTGACAGCTTAAAAATCCCAGATACCTGCAACTGTGCTAGAGAATACCATTTCTACCAATACCATAACTCTAAGTTAAAATCAAACAAACAAAAAAAAAAATTGCATGCATACACACACACACACCCCCTTTGCACATTGAAAAATAATAAATTCCATAAGCACGGAGTTGCGGTTATCTGGTAATATGTTGTGGCACTCCACAAAGCCAGATTCTCCAAACAAACTCCTGAAAGCCAGGAAGCAAAGAGCTGAGGAGCTCGTTCAGGAATCTTGCACAGATGCAGGACTCACACACGCACAGGCTGAACACTTTGCATAGGATTTCGTCAAGCACGTGGAGCAAACATCACCGTCTTGAGCACTTGCAGTTCCACATCCCACCCCCAGCACGACAATCCCGTGGTTAAGGTAAGAAATTTCAAAAGGGAAGGTCTAACACTAAGACTTGGAAATGTTTAAAGAAGGGAGAGGAAAAAAAAAAGAGGCAAAAGCTGAAAGTAAACGGAAATGACACATTGAATTCCCCTCTATCCACAAAACGCTCATCTGTTTTGGATTATGAGCTTTTCAGGGCAGGGACCCACTACCTTCCTACATCTACATAAAAGCGCCCGGCATATCTACAGTGCAGCACAAGTTACACGCTCCTTGGAACAAGGTCTTGGCTTCGCCTGGGAAGGGCCTTGCCTGCCTACGAGGCAGGAACCAGATGTTGTGGAACTCTGCGGAAAAATTCCACCACCAACTGAAAAGGGACTTTGGATCAAGAACAAGCCATTTTTATTATGTATTACTCTGATGGAATAAATTAGGACAATAATATATACAGCAAGGACCATAAGGATCTTTCGCATAAGACATGTAACACAACAGCGAAGCAGTCCGTACCTTTAAAATTAAGTTTAAAATTACCTGCAGATCCGCAAGCTCTGGGGAGAAGGCCATGGCATTACGTACCCATGTAGTGCTAAACACTACCACCTTACCGTGGCTGTCAAACACCCATGTTACACTGTGCTGGGGTTTTTCACAAGGGTAGAGAGGGTGTAAGCAGCATTAGCAGTATTAGAAAACGGCATGCTCAAGTGCTCAGAGTTTGGGGGGTTTTTTTGGAAGCCGCACTACAGAAAAACAGGTAATACCTGATTTTTACTTTCCTGCATTTAATTCAGGAAGAGAGGCAGCAACACTTCATCACTTGATTGTTTGTCCCATGACAGCGTGGAAAAGGCAGCTTAGTTGCCCACCATAGCCAAGAACTGATCGGAGAATGGTGGCATATTCTGCATTTCCACTAGCAATCGCAGAACATACACTTATTAAATGCATTATTTCACAGGATATGTGAGCAGTAAAGCCATTAACATCCTGCCACCTTGGTTGGCAAGGTGTTCCATGCCACAAATGGTGCTCCTCACCACACAACCCCAACACGTGAGGACTCCTCGCCATGCCTCCAGAAACCCTGCCTGCCTCGCTTCACACAAGAAGGCAAAAAGCTGAACTCTCATTAGAGGAAACTGCGCAGACAGAGACGGTGAGTAAGCTGTGAGCAACTCGCCAAGGATCTTTTTTTTTGAACAAAGGAGAAAACTTGCAAAGAAGATAGTTTCCATCTGTTTTTATTAGCTGTAGTATGGTGCGTATGTACACAGAAACTGCAGTCATCTAAAAACAAGCTACTGAGCTGCTTCGGCAATAGAAACAAAGCTACCAGAGCAGAGCAGCTGAAACCTACCACATCATCCGAACCAATCATGCATTATATTATACATACTCATGCAGGAACCATGCACATACATAGCAATAGCCAGTATAGGCAGAAGATATACACCTATTGGCAGTGTGCTGAACTAGGGAACTCTTATCTACATATTTATCTGTTGCATCACACTTCATTTTCCCATTAAACTTCTATTTCCCATTAAACAGTACTTTTTGCTATAACTTCAATCACTATTAATTGCTGTAAGATACATTATATTTACAGTAAACGCAATCATCAAGTATCCAGTTATAGGTAACAAATAAATTGTCCACTTGACCACAGACGGGAAATATTTTGCTTTTAGCTTCAAGACTTAAGCTGATTTATTCAGGTGTTAGAGAACATTGTGCTGTAAACAATGATGTGCAGAATAATCTTTAGCTTTAGTATAGTATGTATAGCTTGATATACTAATGCTTAACTTGGTTGAAACAAGTAAAAGCCTTATGTATTTTGATAAAATCCTAAGGAGGAAAATTGACCCATTCTGCTCTTCAGCAAGGCTAAGGTCAGTACAAGTTGCACTTTCTAAAAAGTAACTCTCACTACCAGTCAAGAACAGTCATAATCTGAAGTCTCCTAAGATCATTTGCCCTATAACAAAATCCTTTTTAAGAGGAACATTTTGGCAGTACAAACACTCTTCCTCACTAGCCTCAAACAAAGCATCTGACAAAAGTGTTCCTACTGGATATTCTTCTACTTACAGAACAAAACTTTTTTAGAAATAGGATAAGTCACTTTAAAGCATCCTAAAAGAAACAGGACAAGCCACTAAAACATAATCAAAACATGCAAATATATCAAAACTGCTTGTTTAACATCAGGCAGAGTTTCAAGGTCTATGAAGTATAAAGATTGCTATTGGTTTCTCCATTGCACAGAGACACAAACCAGCTCATCTTTATTTGCTTAATGTATATAGCTTTTCATTAACGTAACTTGAATGTTTTATACACTACCCCTGAAAAATATGCTGCTTTGCAGAAGTAATTTCACAGCCGTTACTCTTGACCATGTTTTGCTTTGTAGTTTTAGTTGCTGCAGGACTATTTTTTCCAGCTCTTATGTGACTGTAGCTGTTTAACCACAAACTTGATTGAATCAGTGTGGATCATGTATTTCCTTCTTAAAAAGAATGTGCAGTTCTTGTCCAAATGTTTATGCTTTCGATATCACAATATCATTTCACATCAATATTTTGGCAAAAAACAAAAACAAATCAGAGACCCACTATATTAAACTTATAGCAGAATGTAGTAGTATATAGACATATAAAAACTTTAAGACCACCTCGCAACCTTTTAGGCAAACCCTCTTCTCTTAATCAATACAATGTTTTATAACACATATTTTGAGGTTTTAAAGTGAAAAACAATCCTACTGTTGTGTGAGAGAGTAGAATATACAGCAAGCAAATTTGGTATGATATATTCTGCGCACAGTTGATGGTTAGTGGATAGGTCATTTGACAAATAAAAATATTTGATCAATAAACAACGAACAGGGATTTTTTTTCCTCTCACATTGCTATTTTAAACTACCTTCCTTACCTTTTGAAAAAAGTCTTCCCCACTTTTCCCTTTGCCCTCAGCAGCAGCTGTCAAAAAAAAAGAAAAGGCAATATGCGGTTACAGAGTGCAGAAAAGAAAATTTACAAGTTTGTATGTAGAAATAAAGTTCTTATTATAAATCCAGGTGCTACTTTTTTCTTATGTAGTATGCATTTTAAACTCTTTAAGAGTCAGTTAATACTTAGAACAGCATTTTTCAGTCTTTTTCTGAAGTTTCAGCCCAAGTAGATGCCTACATTTGCCCAGTAGAGCTACTGTATATTTATCTGTATTTCTGTTACACAGTAAATCACTAGACTTGCTCTCATTTATCATCTGGTATACCTTGCCAAGTAGTTGTACCAACAGGATGCTTAGGGGGGAAAAAGAGAAAAGAAACAAAATGAGCTAGAAGGGCACAGGATTTGCTATATCCAAATTAAAAACTGGGGAGGGAGTAGCTGCGGACAAAAGAGAACTGAGAGCACAGAGAAGGCCTCTAACATCTTGACCCGTTCAGCCTGGCAAAGCACAGGTGAGAACAGTGAGGTCTGAACCAAAACCCAGCGCCCAAAGGGAAAAGGGGCATCACCAGATGTACCCGTGCCAGGACTGGGCAGTATCCCCGCATGCTGGGTCTGTCCTAACCACGGGTATAACACCTGGACATAACCTACAAAGCACAGCTGACTTAAGGAGTGAGCATTAACCAGCCTAAATATACATGTGCTAGAAGCAAAGCACAGAGAGCACTACAGGAAAACCAACAAGGGGAACAAGCACTAACCCATTTCAGAGCAGGGCTTGGAAGCTTCTGAAGAGACCCCATAAATCATTGATGTCTAGAGCAGGACCTCTGCTAGGGCCTGGATTCTCTCCTCCGTGTATTTAAACCCCTGACTGTATATTTAGTTAATCTAAATGATCACACAAACACACAACTTGCATATGTTGCAGCTTATGTGTGTTGCAACTTGGGAGCTAGTAACCAATTCCAGAAGCAAGGCTAAATCACAAAGGGTAACTTCCCTGTCCCCAAGAAGCTGCCTCCATACGCAGCGCCAAGCGCAGAGGGTTTCCTCAATTCCATCAGGATGCCGAGGCGGGCGGCTCATCGCCACTCCAATTTCTCTACTGGTAGAGAACTACTCTTCTCAAGCAGAAGCAGTTTGTTCTACTAGCGACAAACCAGTTTGCCCCATCAGGGCAGCTTCAAGGCTCTCCCAGTTACTTAGTGCCTCCTTACTCTTCGGATCACACAAATAATTCGAATCACACAATATCCAAACTCAGCTAACAGAGCCAACCCGAGCAAGCGAACACGAAGACGACACTTGCCGCACACGCCGCAGGCTCCCGGCTGGTGAAAACGCAGGTGCCCAAGGAAGCCCTCACGCAGCCGTCCTGCCGCAGAGCCGCTCCAGGGCCCGCCGGCGCACAAACCTGGGGTCAAGCACTGCCCTCACCCCCAAACCTGCGGGCGCCCGTGCCAGCGCAGCGAGCCAAGAGCAAGGCCGGCCGCAAGCAGGGAGGAAACACGGAAACGATTCTGGAAGCTTTTCAGATTTGCAGGCCACAGATACCGGCAGGAAAAGACAACTGAACATTAATGCTGTTTTTGATGGCAGCCACCGCACCAAGACGAGTCCATACAAGTTTCTCATTAGCTTAGGAAGAGCTACGAAATGCATTAGGGAAATGAGAAGTAACACACTGTATTTCAAGTGAAACATATGACCAACATGCTTCTAATCAGAAAGCATAGAAAACAAACTATAGAAAAGAATGCAATAGATGGAAGGCTAAGCTATAGCTTTAGGAATGGCCTGACTTCACTGCAGCTGCAAATGCACTTTCCAACTCAAATACAAATGAGAGATGGATTAAACAGTAGCAGACAAGGGTATTTAAACAGATGACATGACAAATTCTAGCATTTATAACAGTTTATTACTTTTTCTAAAATCAGCCCCACAAAATGCTGCATGGGTATAGTAACAGATTAACAAGCATGGAGAAAGTCAGGAGAAAGGGGAAGGAAAGTTTGAAATTGGGTTCACAAGAAAAGAAAATCCCCCTGCCTCAAGTTTATAAAATGTATGTGAAACATCATTGTTAACCTGAAACCATTTAAGTCTTCGTTTCTGTCTGAATCAATCGCTCTTGAAAACAGGAAGTGTTGCCAAACACAAGGAAAAGGTTGACTACTTAGTTACTAATTGCAAGGATAAAGTCTTTTGGTTTTTTTTTCCCCCTCTTTCCAAAACCACCACAAAAAAAATTGTAGGTAAAGGATTAAAAAAATCTAAAAAAAGTTTAGAAATGTATACAAAAAAGTGAAAGCAAATTGTTATTTTTAAATTAACAACAGCCCTAGCCTAGGACGCACATACCCAAGCATACTCCGACAGGAGCTGCTTCCCACGGAACCAGGCTGCCAAAGCCACCCCCACCACCCCCAGCTCCGAGGGGGCTTTAGGACAGCGAGCCCGAGGAGTGGGTAGAAGGCAGCTGCTCTGGGAGGACACGTGCGAGCCACGGGCCGAGCGCGCCGCCGCGCTCCCATGCGCCTCGGCCTTCCTCGCACGGCTCTTCCGCAGCCCGGCCAGGAAAGCTCTAGAAATCCAGGCTGGTCACTAGCCATGGGCAACCAGTGCATCTGTGGGCCGCAGGCTGCAGTTGACAGAGGCCAGACAAAACCACACGGCAGTCGACGCAAGGCCCCGGCCGACAGGCCTGCCTCTGCTGCCAACCTCGGCTACTCAGGAAATACCAGCGTCTTAGAACCACCATCTATTTTATGACACTAAATAATCACTCAGCTGACCTTACAAAAAGCAGGATTATTTTTTTTGTACACAAAACCCTAACACTGGTTTCAGAAATACAGAAAAAGACCATGTAAATGTGCATGGTAAGCATTTTGTATTTTAAACTGTACTCAGTGTTTATTATAACTTCTTCCATACCATGAAATATTTAATACCAAGATCCTGCTTTTCAAGATATATTGGATTGCCAAGGTTCTATCCAATACAAATACAAAACGGTTGAAACAAGTGTTAGCCATTATGGCACCCATGAAGCGCACACGTCTTGTCTACTTAAAGCACAAAAAAGCCCAATAGTAATTTGTTGCAAGTTGACACAGAAAGTGAACTTAAACTTTTACTACATATGTTATTTTAATTATGAAAGCAACTGTTACAATATAGGCCATGCTTTACAGGAACTCAGCCCAAGGTACATACAGCAGGTCTTCCTTAAACGCATTATTGCAATTTTTTTTGCTGATCGCATATCAGCTTTGCACCTCATTTCCTGAATTCTTGAAGGTATTATTACACTGTAGTCTATTTACCTTTAAGTTGATCAGTACCAAAAATTCTTGCTTCACCTGCATTAAAAGACTACATTTATAGACGATGGAGCATGTTCTGCTCAAAGGTGCAGCTTCTTGGAAACAAAGTTATTCCTTGAATCAAAAAAAAATCCTCCTCCACAGGGAAGGCCATTAGATATTTGAAATTCAGCAAGTGAAGTCAACTTCAGAGGACTGGAAGAGTAGAATCACATACTTCAAGATTAAATACTGCATGACCTTTCTCCCTGTCTAGCCACTGATCGGGAATGATTTCATGACATTTATGTTGAGCAAGTCCTCACCTTAGATCTGCTCTTTTCTGAAATCGCCACAAGAACGGTGGTAACTGCAGCGTGCTTCCACCCACGCCCACCAAAATCTACTGTTAGTCAAGGAAAATAAAAATCTCTACTTTTCAGGATTTACCAATCTATTTTTTCTCTCGTTAAGTCATAAACAAATTGACAAAGATGATGCTTTTATGTCAGACTATAACCCTTATATATAAAGCCTGTTGATACCAAGCCAAGCTCAAGAATTTCATTCCCATATGCCACAGAGTTAAGCTAAATTACTTAAAATAAACCTCTGGGGGAAAAAAAAAACATTGTAAAAGAAAAGAGAAGAAAAAAGACAGACCTTAAGTTGCATTTGCTGAAATGCAAGCAAAATAAAACCTTTTTTTTTCTCCATGAAATTATGTTGAAATTAAAGGGTCTGGCTAAAGAGAAAAGTAAAAAACACTAAATTAAAAAAAAAAGATTTACATAGTAAATAAGCTGAATTCTATTTTTCAATCGACTTTTCATTTGCATTATCAATTGCATATACCTCCCATTGGAAAGTGCCTTTCCTCCCATTGGAAAGTGACTTTTTGCAACTAGTTCTCCACTGTACTCAATTTATAGATATTCTTCCACTATCATAATTAATGTTTCTAGCATGGGAAGACAGAATTTAGATTTTGAGAGAAGCAAAGGCCACACAGTAGACTGCTCTTAATGGCCAAAATATCACTAACTTTATTAAATTTGATGAAGTGGCCCAAGGTACAGGCCACTGATCTCAGTATTTTAGGGTATTAAATACATAAATCTCCAACTGGTCTCCATATTCTGAGACAACTGGATTCCAGCACTGAAGGTAAGAGAGACAGGAATATCGCCTTTCATTAAAAAGAACTAAAAAAATACGAAGACACGCACAATAGAATTTACAAAGTTTATGTGCAACCCTTCTTGGTTCGACAGTGCAGCCAAGGAAGAAGAATTGGAACAATTTCAGCTGAGTAAATGACAATAAACAGACTGTTTAACTAGACATTTCTGGGTGGATTCCACTATCTCCTTCTGTTGGGAGGAACTTAACACACAAGCTATTAAGCTATTCATATGAAGACCAAATGTGTTGTAACTTCTGATAGACACAACTAATTCTGGAAAAACACAGACTCTGAATGTAAGGATACCCCCACCCTGATGTTGATAAAACAGCACCCTGGAAATCCTGTGCCTGTGGCTTCTTTTCAGAATATTTGCTAGAGGGATGAGGTTTTTGAATCAAAACACTCATGTAAACAGGCATGCAAGACACTTGTCCTGCTCAGCCCACATTTATCCTCTGTTACAGTACCACAAAAACTGTGTACGCTCATTCAGTTATCAGTTTCTTTGAGGAAT